CTCCGCTGACTGCGCGCGGACCTCTCCATATGGACGAGGCGTTTATACTTGACGCGCTCGCCGTTGTGCTATTCTGTGAAACGACAGGGGGCGACTCCGAGTAATTCTCTTCTAAACCACCAGGAATCAGCAGTGAAGAAGTAGTTTGCCATTTATTAGTAGTTTATTAATTTCTGATTCATATAAAAAGAGTAATAAATGCAGTAGGTTTATTGTACTTTCACTGCATGTAAACTAGTAAACAACTGAAGCCTTATTGAAGAGTGTTTAAACCTTAATTTCATCAGCAGGGCTTACTTCTGCTATTGTAGGCTTATTTTGTAAATATAAGCAGTTACTTTAGAGTGCAAACTGGGTGCTTAATGTAAATGTGTTCCTATTCAAAAAATGAGAGGCTTTTATGGTCGCCCATCAATGCAAATGTCTCTGTGTATAGAAGGATCATAAACATGGTGGTACAGACGTACCAGTTCGGCCAGATTCGGCTCGAAGTCGTTCATCTTCGGATGCGGCGCCGCGCGCGATGTTACAAAAAGTGCCGTGCACACCGCCAGGCGAAATGGGGTCTTGCGCACCCAACGCGCACGACCGCCCACACCGCAATGACGTCATTTTTGCCGCGCGCACTTCGCGCTCTTGCGGACGCGTCGAGTATAAACAAGGCTTCACGTTACCACAGCACAGCTCGCTCGGAGCGTTCAGTGTCGGTTCTATGTACTGTGAAACTTCAATTAATGTATTTGTTTCAATCACTGAATGAAGCCTGCTGTATACCTTAAATTGCTTGCACAAAACTCTTGATCAGCACTCAACATTTGTTTGTTGTTGTTCATTTAAACCGGTATGCGCGGAGAGCGTGAGGGTGAGTGCGAGAGAGAGAGAGAGAGAGAGAGAGAGAGAGAGAGAGTGCGCCTGCGAGTCCGGGCGAGCCAGAGTGAGCTCTGCGGTCTTGGCCATTAGTTGATTTACTCGTTTTTTTTTTTAGTAATACGTTGTCAAATATGTTTAAACTCAAATAAGCTACTTAATACTAGTAGTTATGTCTCTTTGTATTAATTTGTCCTGTTATTGACGTAATGCGCGTCATTGACCAAATGCACGACGATATGCTCAAATATGTTTTTTTGAAGGGAATATACAAACGCCATTTGAGCAATTTTGACAGCCCTAGTATGCGTACGGTAGCTGTTACGAACACTGGTCATAGGATTAAGTAATACCAACGTTGTTCCGTGCTTTTTGTGGGAGATTTATTCAGCGACCACCTGGCTGAGGTTTGGACGCGTGTGGTGTGTGTCTCCCTCGCCATCGCAGTGATATTAGAGACTAGACATGCTCATTTTATTTTATGTAGAAAAATTTAAACCATGGCAGTAAATAGTTCGTTACTTTTAAAATGAAGTACAGTGTGCACTGTGCACTTTATTATGCTGGTTGCTACTGTGTGCAATAGTGTAATTATTTTATTTATGCTTAAATATTTATTTTCAGCAGTGAACTTTTTTTTGTTCTACCTCATGTTTTTAATATTTGTTAAATATTGTTTATCTACTTGTTCTTGTTCTACCTCACATGTTTTTACTATTCGTTAAATATTGATTTTTTTCGTTAAATAAATGTTACTTTTATTAAATTGAGACCTGTAACATTTGTTAACATCATGTCATTTTTATGATGTAAATTGAGGGAGCAAAATGTATCGGCTCCAAATATCGGCTCAAGAAAATCGGCAGCCCGTATCGGTCATCGGCTAAGGCTGATGGGAAAAAAATCGGTATCGGTATCGGCACTAAAAAATCCATATCGGTCGATCCCTAACACACACTCTCGCGCAGACACACACTCTCGCGCAGACACACACTCTCGCGCAGACACACTCGCGCGCAGACACACTCGCGCGCAGACACACACTCGGTCTCTCTGGCGACACCTTTGATACGGAGCGTTCTGTGAACGGAATGACGCATTTTAAATATCGCTCGATCACGCGAATTTGACCGTGAGAAGCCAAAATCGTGATCGTGATTAAAATTCGATTAATTGTGCAGCCCTAGGTGTCTGACAATGTTTTTATTTGTAATTATTATTTTTTTATTTAACCATTTAATCATAGTTACCATTATAGTTGCGTTGCGAACTTCACTACTATAGTCAGAGCGATTATTAAAACTGCATGTTGTCATCATTATAGTTACGGGTATACAGCTGAAGCTTTATGCGTTTAGGCCGTTTATTTATTTACGTTCTGGAGGCAGAACACAGCGCTTCCACGGATCCGTGCGAACGGGGATAACGGCACGGTCCGCTTGTGCGGCGCGACTGAAGCGCGGAGTCGCCACGCCTCCGCCAGTTCTACGTTGATGGGCGTGGCTTTGTCTAGACAGGGCATCGGACAGCTTTTTGACAGCTTTCCGCCTTCCCAGGATGCTTTGCGGGCGCGTTAAAGCCGCTTGACATCCCCATAGGAATAAAGTGGAGTGCGGCGCGACAGAAGCATCGC